TATGCATTCATTTCCCCTTGCCCTCCGTCAGGGCTTGGGGGGAGCCCCCGGTCGGACCAGGTTATTGCATCCGGGACGACCGGTTGGAGGCTCGCCTCCACCAACCGCAGGCGTTTGTGCGGGTTACCCAGCCGGACGAGCATTGGCGGGGACTGTCACCCAGCTCCATGGCCGACTACGAACTTTTGCGTGCCCAAGGAGCCGGGCCGGCAGCCCTGTACGCCATGATAGGTGAAAGCATTGGTGAGGCCCTGACTAACGTCATGGCTGACCGTGCCATGGACAGCATCAACAGGTTTGATACCATGGTCGAAAACGGCGAGGCAAGCTCCCGGCCCGAGCCTGTCACAACCGAACAGGCTGTGGCTACGGCTTTGGACAATCTGACAGCAGAGAAATGTCGAATAGGCGTTGTCCCCTGTCCAGACGACGACTATCGACCTTATGTGGCGAGCGCAAAGGCTGGGGCCATCAGCCCACACCTCGACGACAGTACACCACTACGCTTCAACCAGGTAAATCCCAAGAGGAAGGACTCCCAGAGCAACGTGAGGTATAAGAAGTACAAGCGTGCTCGGACTTATGGGGAGTACAGGGTACTGAACCCTGCCCTGGCTCAGGCGGACCTCAGGAACGATCTGAGTCATGGATACTTAGAAATTCTTGCCCATGGGAACCTGGTTCCTCCCCGGCCTCCGCCCACTCCGCGAACCGCTCCGACTCCTGGACCCACTCCAGGGACCGGACATCGGTGCATTCCGGGTATAGAGCAAGGGATTACGATGGACAACAAGGAGGAGTTTTGTAAGAACGGCGGCATGCAGCTCATGTACGAGCGCTTGTCCGCAGGCACAAAGAAGACCTATGAGTCCTCCTTAAAGAAGTGGCACTTATGGCGTCATGTACGCCGAAAACCATTTATGTTAGGCACCGACGACGAGGCTGAGGAAAACGATCTTATGGAATTTGTCTACTGGGCTGGCATAGGCCATGGATACAAGCATTCCACCCTTCATGTGTGTCTATATGCACTCAGGTTTGCACACCTGGTCGCAGATGGCAGGGATATTCTCAAGGACAAGTTGCGACTTAAGATGGCCATGGCTGGCTTGAAGCGTCGACAGAAGTCCCCCAAGCGCAAGCATCCGGTGACAGTGGCACATATTAAGCAGATCCAACTGGGGTTGGACACTGGGCTGTGGGATGACTTGCTGTTACTCACCGCGGTGTCTTTCGGTTTCTCCTTTTTGCTGCGTGCCTGTGAATACCTGTCAAAGGATGGTGTGGTCCACGAGGACAAGGTCCTCCGCATGGAGCATCTCCACATCTTCCAGGCAGGTCACAAGTTGGGGTGGGAACAAATTATGGCAGCGGACGAGTTGGTCATCCACATCCCAGGCTCCAAAACAGACATCTACAACGACGGTTACAAGCTCAATATCAAACTGCGAGCAGGTGACACGCCGTCTGACATCAACCCGTTATGCCTCCTTAGGCAGCTGTACACAATGAACCCAGCCCGCTTCGGAGCCAACGGGTCCAAGCGGCCCGTGTTCTGCTTAGCCTGCGGTAGGGTCCTGGAGCGTAGCACAGTTAACACAGCGCTCAAAGCAGCGGCGGTGGCTCTGGGTCTGGACCCTGCTGATCACGCCACCCATTCGCTGCGGGCTGGTGGAGCTACAGCCTTGTATGCCATCGGGGGCCCCCTCAAAGAGTGAT